AGCATCACAAAAAAAAAAAAACTAAAAGCAATCTAATTATGTGTACATACTTTAAAAATATGATATTTTAATTTTTTATTAATGAAAATTTATTAAAATGAAATAATTTTAGGGTGGTTTTTCCTTTAATTTTTAAGATGTAAAGTGAATAAATACTACTTTTATATATTAAATATATTTTATATCTTTTTAAGATATTAATAAACTAAAAGATTTACAATTATAATTATAATTTAGCATTCCCAAACCAAGTCTAAGTGATATTTTTATTTACCAATAAGTATATGTGGCTTTCATTTACAATTAAAATAATTTGTAAATTGTAATAAATTAATTTTTTAAATTATATTATAAATAAAAATCACACATACTGACTTATTATTACATTAATAAATATAGATATTGTTACATGATATTCTATTAAGTAAAATACTAAAATTTATCTTTCAAGTTTGTCAATAGGAATGGATTTATTCTAATAAAAAAAGATACAAATCGCCTTACAATATTTTTAAGTTAGAAAATTAACTTAAAATTTAATTTATAGTAATATTATATGATATTAATTTTTTATTAGAATAATACTTTGATATTTATAAAATAAATAAAAGTGTTTTCTGTTTGGCCGAATCACCATCATCATTTGATTAAAGAAAAATAGAAGAGGAACAAAGTGAAGAAAAAAAAAAAATTAAAGATAAATGGATTACGTTATTTTCAGGTTACCGATGGATATTAATTTTCTTTCAAAATTTACTGTAACGTGTGAACGATGCAAGAGCAAGTGTGGAGGAGAGTGCTTGTGGGCGAGTGTCATTGGCACTACTCATAAAATGAACATTGATTAATGGAAGCCAAGGACATCTCCAACTCTGGATGCATGTGGTGGCTTTGGCACTATGGGTAGTAAATTTGAAAAAGATCCTTTTAGGCTCTGAAATTTATGCGGATTCTTTACCACTCTGAACTCTGATTACTGTACATGGTACCCATAATGTCCGTACAAAAAAATCTTCCTAGAACCTCTAAACGCTTAATTCTTTGGGTTTTATATGGATTATTATTATTACTTTTTCATTCAGATTATAGTTATTAATTTTTTTATTAAAATTATTAATTTTAATTATAATTTTATTAATTCATAATATTTTTAAATAATTAATTATGATATTAAAATCATTTATTTATAAATTAATTTTAATTTATAAATAATTATTTTAGTAGTTCAATGCATGCAATAGACACACCCAATTGGAAATTTGAAAATACCAATGGAATTATCTTTTGTCCCTAGAGTACAATGTCATTGAAAAGGACAAATCCAGAGAGTGAAATAAACATAGGGTAGGGAACTCTTGGTTGTTAGGAAATGAAATTCTTTCAAAAAGGCCAAAAACTTCAAAATGAAAATGGTGGGGAAATGATTGAAAATGAAAGGAAGGTACATTTTGAGTTGATTTACTATTAAGAAAAAAGAGTTGACCAAATAGTAACACATACTTATCTAAAAAAACATACATGGTTTCGAGAACCTCTTGAGTTATAAACAAAAATTTAATTAAATTAATATTTATTAATTTAAAAACTTTAATTTAAGGTAAAGATAAGACTTTAAATTTTTATTATATCATCGTAGATTATTGGGATACAAAATTATTGGATGTTCATGTGACCATCAAAGGACTGTAAAAAAGACCAAAAAGTGGATAAGGATGATATGGGGGCAGTTTTAATCAAACAGATGGGAAATACAAACAAAGTGTCCTTTTACCATTGAGAAGAAAATGAGACTTTTCTAACGACAAGTTTGAATAGACCGGGCAGCGACCCAAGCTAGTGTTGGTAGCAATAGGGGAACATAGTGGTTTATACCGATAACGAAAGAGGAAAACCCAAAAAAAAAAAAAAAATGCTTGATTTAGCTCTTAAGCTACTCTCTATGGGGAAGAAAAGAAATAAATTTAAAGGCAAAAAATTGCACTTCTTCCTTGTGAGGTTGGGTGGATGGATTCTACCTTTTAAATCACAAAAATACACACTTAACCCGTTAAAATCATGAAATGCCTTCGGTCATTTGTAGCTTGAAAAATGTGTACTTCAATTCTTTTTAAAATTTCAGAGTCACTATTAACGAACTTGTGGTATTAATTAAGTTCACATTTTTCTAGTGGCCACAAGAAGTACTAGTACTTTTAAACTGTAAAAGGTTAAGAGAACATTTTTTTTTTTTTATCTTATAGGGTTACTTACACCTAATACCCACTCTAAATTAATCGAAGATAAGTGCAATTTTCCCCAAAAATTTACTAGGAAGTCTACTTTTCGGTACCCATTAATTTCTTTACTAGTAAACTAAGACCTCTTCGATTATCTATTAACTAAAAGAAATGTCAAGATTTTGGAAATTTTACAGTATTATCATCAATTTCTCGTCAAGTTCTGTTACATATAGAAAAAAGGGGTTTAGTTTCTGCTTTGGTCTTCTTAGCCGCCCTCAACACCGTGGTCTTCTTAGCCGCCCTCAACACTGTGGTCGATGATATATGTCCCATCCTGATAGGGATCTCACAATGTTTAAACAGCAAGGTATTTGTACATATTCAGGCCTGGATATAATTTCCACATAGATGGCCTAGCCTCAGGCCAATTGAGTTGTCGTGGTCAGCCCACTTACTTTAGTTAGTGGATCAAATTCATTCTTTTTCTTTTTCTTTTTTTTTTTTTTGAATTATCATTAAAGTATTTTTAAATCAACTTTTATATACCCCAAGATTAAAATCTTCTCAATGATTTTAAAGGTACATTCTTCATCTCGCCACCACTAGGGTTTCCTCTCAACGTGCGAGCCCCTCGCCTAGGCGTCTCTCCCTGTTTTTGTAGGGCTTCTTCCCTTGTTTTTCTTTTTGTTCTTTCCATGGCTCATCCATGTATGTTGGCTTGGACTTATCGCAATCTTGGAGAGGTTTACTCTATTTTTGAGTCAAACCAATTATGCCTCCAACAAATGCCAAACTTTGCCCTGCTCCCTGCAACACAGCAATCGGGGATGGAGGTGAATTTTCTCCGACTAGATCTAGGGTTGGCTCACTGTTCTGTGAGCAATTGTGCAAAGCGAAAGGATGGCTTGACTCTATTCTAGAATGATGAGCTTAACCTTCAAGTTTCCTCTTTCTCGCCATTAATAGATCTAGAGTTGGCTTTGCTATTCTACGAGCAATTGTGCAGAGAGAAGCCATCTCACATCGATGTTGTAATGGTAGATCTGGGTGGATGTCAATGGCCATTCACAGGGTTTTTCGGCCAACAAAAGATGGTTTCTCCTCTACTTTGGCTGCGTTTAGGCAACATCAATGCTCCCTTGAGCAAATCGGAAAAGGAGAGAGGCATTCTCATAATTCCGATTGGGTTCTGCGTGGGAGGCCATAGGCGGGTTTTGGTGTGGAGGGTCAATTTTACATGCTGTGAAGGAAGCTGATGGGGTTCTGCAAGGGCAGTATGGTCCTCAAGTGGGTAAAGGGGCTTTAGATCCCTTATTAACTAATGGTAGCAAGGACTTGATGAGGATTGGAACAAATGGGCACATGTTTGGGTGCACTTGCAGACGAATAGGGCACTTGCAGACGAATAGGGTACTTGGTGACTGCACAGAGGAGGACCATACCCCTCCTCTTGCTGATTATTTTTTAAGAATGGTTTGGATGGCAACCTATAGTTTGGGGACTGTTTGTTGCTA